CAGTTTCGGGTAGCGGGTTTAGAGTTCCGGGTTCGGGGGTTCAGGGATGATCAGCAGAATGCTATCCCTCACAGGATCCCTAGACCGGGCTTAGGTCGCATCGCACCCCCGAAAGCGTGGCAACCCCTAAACCGTAAACCCCAAATCCTCACCCCTAAACCCCAAAACCCAAACCCCCACCCCTAAACCGTGTCTTTCCAGCGGTTCGGGTAAGCCTTTCTCGAGCCCGACAACAAGGGCTCTGGCAGAGAAAGGGCTGCAAGATCAAGGCTAAGATGGGGATCCCGTTAAATGGATCTATAAATCTATAAAGGTTTCTGTAGGGGTTTCTCTCAGGGTTGTATAGGGGTAGTTAAAGTAGTTAGGGTCCCTTTTGGGGTCCTGTTTATAAGAGTGCCGTACCTTAGAGAACTACTCGTATCTGCCGGAATTCCTAGCAGAAGTATCCCTTACAGTCTTACAGTTCCAGTATATTCAGCAAAAATATCGCCTTATAGTCTTATAAAATGTATACTTTGCCATTACTGGGCCCCTGCATTCAGGTCAAGGCTATCTTGGCTAAGGGCTGAGTGTGAAACGTTCCTTTGCTGCGGGTTTTTCAGGTGTTGCGTTAGGGTGTAGGGTTTTAGGGTTTGGGGTTTTAGGATTAGGGTTTCTGAGGGGCTGTCTGCCGAAGGAGCTATAGGTTCGTACGATTTCAGGTCAAAGAGTTTCGGACTCAGGGTTTGGGTATGATGCCCTGACGCACTGCTGCAGGACATTGTGGACAAGGGCAATACCCAGGCAGCGGGGTTTAGGGTTTAGGGTTTAGGGGCCAGGGTTTGGGTTTAGGAGTTTAGTCCCGTTATAGGAGCCTTATAGAAGGTCTATATACCTTATAGAAGCCTTATAGGAGCCCTATATACAGTAACTCCCCACCTGTAAGAAGCCCCACAGCCGAAACCTTGAAACCCTAAACCCTAAACCCTAAACCCGTAACCTTGAAACCCTAAACCCTAAGCCCTAAACCTTGAAACCCCTAAACCCTAAACCCTAAGCCCAAAGAGTATCGGAAGAACCTTACAAAGACCCAACAAAGACCACCCCAAAAAGAAGCGGGCTTTCAGGTGATCCCGGATAGATCCAGTTTCGATCCCCCTTCCGGAACCCTTGACTAAGTCTGAAGGCATCCCCAAAGAGCCCTTAAACCAAGCCCCCGCAGCATGCGCAGCTCCGTGAGCCCTTGTAGCGACCCTTTTGAGATCTTGTGAAGCCCTGAAGCAATCCCAAACCCTAAACCTCGAAACACCCCAAACCCTAACCCCAAACCCCAGACCCCAAACCCTAAACCCCTAAACCCCAAACCCTAAACCCCCAAACCCCAAACCCCAGACTCCAAACCCTAAACCCTAAACCCCAAACCCTAAACCCTAGAGTCTGAAAAAGTTTTGAGATCCGCAGCGCTTTCAGGTGATCACGTGCATCCCAGGGCCTACGTCGCAACGTCAGGCGGGGCTGCCGAGAATTCGCTCCCAGTAGCCCTTCGAGACGGCTTCAGGTAGACGTTTGAGAGTGCTTTGCTGGGTGTTCTTGGGATTTTTTTCCGGGCTTTGCAGAGTTTTCTGGGGCTTTTCCTGCTCTTGACCACCCGGCAGCGGAAAAAATCACAGACATCCCTCCCCAAGCCACTAAGGCTAGAAAAATGCTAGACACTCCGCAGCCCCAAAAGGCCCTTGAGGCCTTAAGAAACCTTCAAAGCCGTAGGCCCTGGGGCCCCAAGGGCCCCAAACCCCCAACGCCCTAAACCCTAAACCCCATAAGACCTAAACCCTAAACTCTAAACCCCATGAGCCCTAAACCCTGAACCCTAAACGTCTAAGGCCCAAAACCCAAAACCCCCAAAAGGCCCCAAACCCTAAACCCCTAAGGCCCCAAACCCTAAAGCATTAGACCTCCCAGGCATATTGGCCCCGGCGCAACCTTCCTGGAACCTGGGCCGCGGCAGGGGACCCCGAGAAATCGGTCGGCTTTTGATCTGGGTCGGTAGGGGCTTCAAGCACGGTTTAGGGATTTAGGGTTTAGGGTCTGGAGAATCAAGGATTCAGATTCCTCTGTAATCCTTACATACCCTTTGTACATTTTCGTGCATTATAGTACATGAGAATACGTATCATAGTACCTTATAGTACATAAAAATACATCATACTACATTATAGAACATTACAAAATATATGTTACGTCTTGCTAGTATATATATATATACATATATATATATACATATATATATATAATAGTACATTATAGTACAAAACAAGTATCATGGTGTGTTATGGTAAAATTTGCCCATAAACTCTAAACCCCAAACCTTAAGCCTTAAGCCCTAAACCCTAAACCTAAACCCTACGCCCTAAACCCTAAACCCTGTGGTTGTGCGGTTTTTTTTCAGGCCCCTTCGGTCCGCGGAGGCTTCTCTTCTCTTGGTCTTAGGGTTTAGGGTTGTGGCAAGGGTGAAGGGTTTAGGGCTTAGGG